GACTAACCCATTTCAATAAGAAGGCGAACTAGTTCTAAAATGCACCACAGATATGATAGACGAGTTACGAGAAGCCGCCCATTTCTGAGAATTTTCTGCTAAACACAAAGCCATAAGGAGATACAAATCCAAGGTAAAACCGAGGGAGATGTAGAAGGGTGACCTAGTACTAAAGGAAGTAGTCATACTTGCACAGTAGGGGAAGCTGCAACCAATTGGGAATGACCGTATCACATATACTAGAAACTCCCCCGTGGAACGTACAAGTCACAAGAGCTCGAATGAACACTTCTACCTAGGAATTGAAACGCTATTCATCTTTGATATTATTATAGTTAGAAGTACTTTTAACTTTCCAATAAACATTATTCCTATGTAAATATGAGCAATTATCCAAGTGTTTTGTTTCTATGAGGGATACCCCCTCTTTAAAATGATTTTTACATTGGACGTTATTACAAAGGTCCTTTATGCCCTTCGAGGTGATTCTTATGTTGGGCTTCATTACAGAGGTTCTTGACACCCATCGAGGAGATACTTTTGTTGGACTTCATTAGGAAGGCCCTTTTCATCCCTTTATGCGATACTTATGTTGGACTACATTATGAAGGTCCTTGTCGCCCCTCAAGGCGATTCTCATGTTGGACTTCATTATGAAGGTCCTTGTGTCCCATCGAGGTGATACTTATGCTAGACTTCATTACGAAGGACCTTACCTTCCCTTGAGGCGATACTTATGCGGGACTTCATTACGAAGGTCCTTGTCGCCCCTTGAGGCGATACTTATGCGGAACTTCATTTTGAAGGTCCTTGTCGTCCCTCGAGGTGATACTTATGCTAGACTTCATTAGAAAAGTCCTTGCCTCCCCTTGAGGAAATTTTCATGTTATAATTTATTACGAAGCTTCTTTCCTCCCTTCGAAGTGATTCTTATGTTGGACTTCATTATGAAGGCCCTTGCAGCCCCTTGAGGAAATATTTATGCTAAACTTCATTATGAAGGTCTTTGGAACCCCCGAGGAGATACTTATGTGAAACTTCATTAGGAAGGTCCTTGTCGACCCTCGAGGCGATACTTATGTGGGACTTCATTACGAAGGTCCTTGCTGCCCCTCGAGGCGATACTTATGTTGGACTTCATTACAAAGGTATTTTCCACCCCTCTAGGCGATACTTATGTCAGACATCATTATGAAGGTCCTTGCCGCCCTTCGAGGTGATACATATGATGGACTTCTCCGTGAAGATCCTTACGACTCCTCGAGATGAAACCTGACTCATTGCCTCTATGACTCGTAGAAGTCTCGCTCGAAAGAGTAAAATTCCTTGCCTGAGGGACTCAATGTCTTGTCATCCAAACCATGTTATGAGATGATTAAGGAACTTATATTCCTCATGCTAATTAGATTTTCCCCTAAGAAACTTCATCCCCTCAGGCAAGATTATTTTCAATAAATCACGCCTAAGAGGTGCGACCTATATCAAGCCCTAGAGACTTGGTTTCCTATCTTGCTTGAGAGATCGATAGAAGTCCCTCCAGAAAGGGTAAAACTCCCCGCCCAAGGGACTCAATATCTCATCATATAGGCTATGTATTGATATGACCGTGGAACTTAGATTCCTCAGGCTAACTAGACTCATGTTAGGGGGAATTTATGTCCCCCCGGGCAGGATTATTTCGAATAAATCATGCATTATAGACACATCCTATATCAAGCCTCAGAGACTTGGTTTTGGTTCTTGATTTAGGGCTCGATAGAAGTCATGCTTGAAAGGGTAAAACTTCTCGCCTAAGGGACTCAGTGTCTCGTCAGGCTATGTATTGAGATGACATGGGAACTTAGATTCCCCAAGATAATTAGACTCTCTCATGAGGTATTTCATGTCCCTTAGGGCATGATTATTTCCAATAAATCACTCCTAAGATGTGCGACCTATATCAAGCCCCAGAGACTTAGTTTTCAATCTTGCTTGAGAGCTCGATAGAAGTCACACCTTAAAGGGTAAAATGCTTCACCTGAGGGACTCAATTTCTCATCACACTATGAATGAGATGATTGAGAAACTTAGATTCCTCTGGCTAATTAGACTATCGCTTGAGGAACTTCGTGTCCCCTCGGGCAGGATTATTTCTAATAAACCACGCCTAAGAGGCATGACCTATATCAAGCCTTAAAGACTTAGTTTCCAATCTTGCTTGAGAGATCGATAGAAGTCTTTCCTAAAGGGGTAAAATGCCTCGCCCGAGGGACTCAGTATCTCATCAGGCTATGTATTGAGATTACTGAGGAACTTAGATTCCTCAAAAAAATTAGACTTTCACTTGAGGGACTCAATGTCTCTTTAGGCTATGTGTTGAGATGATTGAGGAACTTAGATTCCTCAGGCTAATTAGACTCTCGCCTGAGGGACTTTTTGTCCCCTCGGGCGGGATTATTTTTTATAAATCACACCTAAGAGGTGCGACCTATATCAAGCCCTAGAGACTTAGTTTCCAGTATTTCTTGAGGGTTCGATAGAAGTCTCGTCTGAAAGGGTAAAACTCCTTTTCTGAGGTATTTAGGGTCTCATTAGCTAGACTATGCATTATTGTTCCTGGAGAGCTTAGGCTCTTAAGTTCAACTAAAATCTCACGAGGGGAATCACCTATTCTCGGGATACTCCCATTAGTTGCAGGTGAAAAACACTTCGCCTTCCGTCGAAGGCCTCGTTCCTGTGGAATTTGTGAGGGCAAGGTTCCTTATTACTTTGTTTTAATGATGTCAAAACTAGGAAAAAAATTTACTTGTGTATTTTGGACGGTATCACCTTATCTTAGCTTGCATTCATCTTTTTCAAATGCACATAATGTTCCACATACATTAATCTAGGCATATAGGATTATACTATATGTGTAAAATGTGTTTTAAATCATTCTGGATGCATTAGGTTGACACATACAGGGCATTAGGTTGACTCACAATTGATAAAAATGGTGTTTGTGACATTCTGGCATCCTTGCATCAACACACAGCTACTGTGTAGGTCGGCGCATACTGATTGAAAACCATCTTGGAGCTCTCGGGTCCTCATGCATCGACGCATGGTCAGGCTTCAGGTCGACGCACAGTTTTATTTTGTGTGCAGGTTTGCTTTCTGGCATGTTCAAGTCGACTCACAGTGTGTGGAGGTCAACCTCTCGCGTATTTGAGCTCATATTTCTGCATCTTTGTGATTTAAAAGTGTGTTATTTCTGTTATGTTTTCATACTCATAAATATTCATATGCACCATTTTTTGTACACAACCAAGAAGAAAATTGAAAGATACGTTGGATTTCTCATCATCTTCACTCTCAAAAATTTCTTCCCTTGCCCATACCGAAAAAATGTGGGATAAGACGTGTCTTGGATAAAGAGAAAGCTAGGTTCATTACTCACTCGTGTTTCCCTTGAAAATATGGATTTAACTGTCCACTATTTGACTATGTGGGCATTGGCATTATTCGAGGAAACCATAAACCCTAAAGATCCCTATATATACATCATCCCTTAAGGAAAAAAAAAAGACAACCTCTAAGTCATACACACTCTCCACAACAAAAAGAGCACTGCACTCGTTAACGTCTTAACATACACGATCAACCTAACCGCCAACCTACAATGAAGCAGCGCTGACCACCAACAGGGCCTCTCACCTCAAGTGAGTTAGTCCCTTAAATAGCCTCAAACACCACCGTACAAAGCTTCTCGCCGTCGTGAGCAAGCCTTCACTATCCAAATATGTTATATATCTATTAATGCCTCTGAGTCTTCCTACCCTTGCAGGGGGCACACACCTGTACTTTTTGATCAGTATTGTTTTCACTTGTTTGAAACTTTGATGAAATGAAAGGGAAAGAAGAGGGAAATGTTTGAGCACGAGTACTTAAATGAACGCGTTCCGATTTCAATATCAATAAGGTGAATTTGGATTTTGAAATCAAGGCTTTTTTAAAGTTTGTTTTACGTGGTTCTGAGATTGAGTTTGGTGGGATGAGTTCGGGCATGTCTGGATTTTAATATTCATAAGTTGTGCATTAGAAATTCAAAATCTGAACATACTTTTTACTTTTGATTTGGCGTGTTTCTGAGAGAGTTTGTTGTATATTTAGTGCGTTCAAATTTCAAATTTTAGATTGTAAGAATATTTTTGAAATTTTGTCATGGTGTATTAGTAGGGCATGAGGTGTAATGAATAATGTCATTAAAAAACATAATAGTGGATTTATAAACGCAAAAAAGACATCTAATTCTTTTTTTAATGATTTTTCAATTTTATTCTAGAGAACAACATAAGTGGATGATAAATTTGGTTATTAGATTGCTCACAATAAAGAAGGCTAAGTTCAAAAACCACAACAAATGATATAAAATTAAAATTATTTGAACCATTTTACTTGCAATTTAAATAAGGGAAATAAGTAGCTCAGCCTAATGTTTGTTAAAGTTTTCTTGCCATTTGATGAAGTTTATGAAACCAATCAGTCCCTACTGCCACATTACTCCCAAGAGCTATGAGGTCCCTCCACCCAAGGGAATCCATGTTTCTTTCACGAGAAAGGCCACCCCCAATCATTGATTGATCCAAATTTCCATATGTATGGATCAGAATTCCTCTCCGAACAGCCTCTTTATCAGCAAAATACGCCATCTCCATTTCCATATCTATTATAGTTGTCTCTAATACATAGCCATTCTTCCATAACCTCTGAAGTAAAATGGTGAAGTATCCGTATCAGATACCTACCTGCGAAATATAACATAGAAAATAGCAGACACTTAGATATTTGTGGGTTAAACACATATGTGGCATGATAATTCGTATTAGTTACATAATCTATTCAGAACTTGAAGCAAATAGATAACCTTGGATATTAAAACTTTCCGCAGGTAATCAATCGTACCACTCATTAAAATGAACATTCTAGTGACTGCAACATTTTTCCCAGTCAATTAGCTTTGCAGTTACTGCTTTGAACACTCATAGTTCAACTTCATCATCATAAATCTGAAAGAGAGTTGCAATGTTCGAGTTATGCTAGGTAAAATGCAAATCTTAAACATCAAAAACTTGATGGGCTAAAGACGTGTCTACTTATGCGTCTAGCGGTATCTTACTGCAAGTGCACAGCCTATCGAAGTAATATTTAAGATTATCGATCCACAGGGATTCTATGGTTACTTAGTGCTAGATGAACTTCTAGTTTAGCTAAGGCGAATGGTTGTCACGATTTTTTGTTGATTTTTAAGACTATTAAAGGCGGAATTAAATTTAAGTTTTAATAAAGTAATACTAAGGCGGTCGGTATGTAATTATACTAACTTAGGTGGGTCAATCTAACATAGGCTTATAAAGGTGTTCACTTAATCTATTCGGTAGAGATTACCAGTTTAAATACCCTCAACTCACACTCTCGTGGTCTTATATCAGATCTTATCCCTAAAGCCCTATGCCTGCTCTCGCTAGCCCATAAGTGTTTAGAGGTAATTTTTGGAAACTAAGTAATTCTAATTTATCTTAAAGCGCTCTCGCTGTGTTTAATTTAAATGCCTAACTTTAGCTATCTGGTTAAAATCTCACACTCTCGTGGTCTTGATCTAACCTAATACTCTTTTCTTACTCTCGTAACGAAAAGGTCTATTTTAATTAAAAAGTATCAGCCAGAATGTTAAGTGATTAATTATTTTTAGCCTATGGTTATATTTTTAGCCTATGGTTATATTTTACCGGTTAAGTTTGTTATAACTACATACCGCCCTAAGGTGTTTAGCTACTCATCGATGTTGAACCAGACAGAGACAGAAAATTTAATAATAACGTACTCATGGCAGAAAAATAAATAAACATTATAATTAAATTAAATTGCAATATAATGAAAAACCTGGTTAACAAATATTCGAGCAGACTCCTTCTTCCACAGACCGGAAAGCTTGGAGTTGGCGGAAATTGAAAATAAACGAATGCTGAAGGTTTAGAAACAAATAAATGTATAACAATTTCCTGATGTTGGAAATTGTTATATGGCGGGTTTGGATACAATAAAAAACGAAACAGAAAACTAAAAATAATGCAGAAATAGAAAGGCTGGTTCGTAATACAGTTCGGCAGAGCTTCCGCAGGAATTTGAATAAAAAATGCTCTGTCTCTCTTCATTGTTCATAGAACTTGTACTATTTATAGAATCCTTAATATGCTGGATTTTTGGACCTTTGTTGCATGGGCCTTGCTGAATTTGTGGAAGGAATGCAGGAACGTGGCAACAAAATAGGAGAAATGGTCTTCACGTAATGCCTTGACGTAGTCTGAGTCAAAAACTTAATTTTACCCTTGTCACGGTCGTGACACCTTTGTGACGGCCGTGACTGCAACAAATTATGCAGTCTTTTGCAGGCTTCTTCATTTCTTCATCTCTTTATGGTTTCTTTTGTTCCTTTTGCTCTTAATTCATGATTTAGCTCCATATAATGATGTACCTGCAAAATGGTAAGAAAAACTCGAGAAATCGAGTGTTAAAACGGTGAATATGCGATAAAACGTTAATGAAACCTAGCAATATAATCGATGCGTTTTCTCGTTATCAAACTTCCCCAAACTTAAACCTTTGCTTGTCCTCAAGCAAATAGTCGGTTGAAAATCGGCGGACAAGATTTTATTCACTCATACTCATAACAAACCGTACGAGGGATCGTTTTGTCGGATAATCCGGTACTTTGATAGAACACTACCGATACACTAATGACACAAGCAACAAGCTATGTCGTCGACTTCCCGTTAAACGAAACAATCGGCAATTACATTACGATTTCACCTGGAGTTTTTCGATCTTATTTCGCCCGGTTTCATTCTAGCGCAATCACATTAAGCCCTTTGCCTTAGCACGCACGTAGTGGAGTAGCCGGTTAGCGACTTTGATCCTTTTTAAGCACGGGGTCTGGTACACGAGTGTGGTAACCCTACATATTTTATCAGATTTGGAGGTTGTGGGGGATCGAGCCGTAGCACGCCCTACCGAGTTCAGAACCAGTACCTCTGAACCAACTTGCAATGGACTCCTTCTCATATTTCTCGTTTCTTATATGCGACCGTGTACTTTGGTGCAATTTCTTTTCATTTTGCATCGAGATATGAAGGATCATTATTGATTAGGCATCAAACCCTTATATTCATCGGCTCCCCACGTGGTTTGTGTTCAGACAGTGCTGACTGCTAGTATAAACTACTAGGGGTTACTTTTGAACTGAAACTAAAAGTGTACTCGTAATGGTAATCGGGATGGAATTGCTTAAGTAGGGAGTCAAAGATGTCAAGATTGTATTGGTCTTGTTTAATCGTTCTCGGCTTCCTAATTACGATTCCGTAGGTAAGTCGGGTAATGCGAATAATTAAAGATTTTTTCTGGTATAGCTAAATAATCGGGAAAAGTTCGAAATTAAAGAAAATAGCACAAAGATTTGCTCATTTCATTAACTTGCGAAAAGAAATACAACGGAATTGAAAATACAACGAGGGAAAATGCGGAAATGAAAGGTACCTCAAATACAACGGAATTGAAAATACAACGAGGGAAAATGCGGAAATGAAAGGTACCTCTCCCACACTATATCAGACATTGTCCTCAATGTTGTGATATAAATGCGGTAAAAGTACAGTACAACGACAAAAACGAAAAACAAACATAAGCAAACTAAAACTATGGCTGCTGAGGACCGCGGGCTCGGCTTCTGGTGCAGGAGCGGCGTCTGGAAGGAGTCGCTTCAGGATCAGAACCGGTGTCGGAGGCAGCAGTGATGTTAATGCGGAGGGCTTCTAGCTCGCTGAAAATTTCTCCAAACTTCTCATTAGTAGCTTCCTGGTTTGCTGCAATAGTGCTGAGTAAAGCATCATACTGCTCCTTCTGCCTTCGCTCCAGTGCGGCGTTCATCTGGTTCTGCTGATGAATCGCACGGAGGACTTCCTCAAGTGTGATTTTGGGAGCAGGGGGCTGTCGGGTAGATGTCTCTGGTATATCCTGGACAGGCTCAGCTGCATCCATAGCGTCCTGCATCTCATCCGCTGGAGGGTCTGCCTGATCATCATGAATAGGGACGTGATCGGCAGCAACAGGTAAAACAAAGAGTCAGTTGGCTCGGCTGGATGGATCGATGCGGTCGCAGAACGGCAGAATGATATGATGGAAAATGGTGCCATGGACAACAGGGCTATACCTGTCATCCTCTCGCTGCGCAATCAGGTGAGCGGACCTGCAATAACTCTTGGTGAGGAATTCTGCGGCTAGGTGAGGCTGATTAACGACCAAGTCACCAAGCCCCAACTGAATGGCGAGGGTGGTGACAATGCCGGCTATGAAGAACGGGGTGGAGCCTCTGTGTGCAATGGCCTGGATATGATAAAGCATGAAAGGGGCAGCGTTGATCGGCTCGTCATTAAGAGCGCAGTGTATAGAAGCTCCTTGGAGTTGAGCTTATGGTTGCTTTCTCGAGCGAAGATGGTGTTGCATATGACACGGTGGAAATAGCGGATTGTCGGGTTGTGAATGTGCGTAGCGTTGAGGCTTTGGAAGGCTGATGCACGGGTGTTGGTTAAGTCGTGCCATAGAGTGAAAGCTTGTTCACTAAAATTATCGGGCACGCGACGGTGAGCTTCAGTTCCGTGATCGAAGCCTAACAACTCGGCTATCCTGTCTTGCGGAATGTTGAACTCTTGGCCATGCAATCTGAATTTGGCGACACCGGTGAGCTGACTCTGAGAACCGGTACCGGTGATGTAACTGAATGAGCTTAAGAACTTCAGTGTCAGAAGCTCGAATGTGGGCTGAGGTTGACTGCAAAGATCCCACAGACCGACTTTTTGAAGCAGGCTTGTAACACTGGCAAGCATTCCGACTTTGTAGGTTGCACACCGCGGTTTTGGAATCGGAGAAAACGTTCTCTCTGAGTTTCTCCAGCATCACCTTCTCTAAAAGTAATAGAATCCATTGCATACAAGAGCTTAGAGTGAAGAGTGAAGATTTTTGATGTTTTGTGAAAAAATGGTAAAATGAAAGAAATATTGATTCGGGATAAATAATTGAGAGTGAGAATGTGATAGGTTATGATAATGGGGGGTTAATGAGGTTTAAAGTTGGTAATGGGGAGGTTACGGAGGTTATGGAGAAAATGGGCAGTTTTGAGGAAGTTATGGAGGAAGAAGAAGAAGAGGCACGAAGAGAAACAGTTCTGTTTCTCACGATTCCTGTAATAGGGGTTGTCACGGTCGTGACAGGGGTGTGACGGCCGTGACACGCTATTTAAGCACGTCACGATCGTGAGATGGGTATGACGACCGTGAGGGCACGCTTCGTTGAATAATTTCCAGAAAAACATTTTCTCACTTAAGGAATTTAGGAGATCCACCTTTTGAGTACCTAATCCGGAACGAAGTAGTAACCCTGTTCACATTACCTAACCATGCTAGAGTAAGTGTTCACAATAAGGATAACTGGCTTTATGAGTTAAACTCACCTGATTATCCATCTACTCCTGAAACACCTCAGTCTTACAAGATAAAAGATGATATAATGACCGATGTCGAAACTGACCCTGAGACACCTCCTGGTTACCATGACATTGACCACACTGAAGAAGTACATGAAACCCCTGAAGTGAATCAAGGAGATTATGCTAACAACTTACAAAACATCATGAACACTCTCAATGCTTACCAAACTGACATTAATTTATTTAAAGAAGACATTAAGAGCATGCGATTGGACATTATAGGATTGACTGACATAACCTGCGAACAATTTTATCACTTGAACTCCGCCATCGAAGACTTGAAGAAACGCTTTTGAAAATGCTATAAGTGATTTAGTTTATTTTTCTCATTGTTTTCGTTTCTAGTTAGATTTATTTTTCGCAACAATTTCATACCGTAAATTCCGTTTATGTAACTTCATTTTCAATTACTTTATGCAATGCACCTTTAATTCCAAAATTTCTCCATTTTAACAATTTATATATCTTTCATTCTATGTACTGTTATGCTTGCATTATTTCATATTATATACAATCTCTCATGCCATGCAGTATAGTACTGTGTTGAAATTATATACTATATGGTGTTTATAATTTAATATGAGTGTTAGTGAAGAAAATACATTATTATAAAATATGTGAATTAAGTGAGAAAATGTTTTTCTGAAAATTATTCAACGAAGAGTGCCCTCACGGTCGTCATACCCATCTCACGATCGTGACGTGCTTAAATAGCGTGTCACGACCGTCACACCCCTGTCACGACCGTGACAACCCCTATTACAGGAATCGTGAGAAACAGAACTGTTTCTCTTCGTGCCTCTTCTTCTTCCTCCATAACTTCCTCAAAACTGCCCATTTTCTCCATAACCTCCGTAACCTCCCCATTACCAACTTTAAACCTCATTAACCCCATTATCATAACCTATCACATTCTCACTCTCCATTATTTATCCCGAATCAATATTTCTTTCATTCTTCACTCTAAGTTCTTGCATGCAATGGATTCTATTACTTTTAGAGAAGGTGATGCTGGTTCTCCGATTCCAAAACCGCGGTGTGCAACCTACACGTTACATTGACACTGTCTGTTTGAGGGAACTCGGAATGCTTGCCAGTGTTACAAGCCTGCTTCAAAAAGTCGGAAGCCTGCTTCAAAAAGTCGGTCTGTGGGATCTTTGCAGTCAACCTCGAGCTTCTGACACTGGAGTTCTCGGTCTGTGGGATCTTTGCAGTCAACCTCAGCCCACATTCGAGCTTCTGACACTGGAGTTCTTAAGCTCATTCAGTTACATCACCGGTACCGGTTCTCAGAGTCAGCTCACCGGTGTCGCCAAATTCAGATTGCATGGCCAAGTGTTCAACATTCCGCAAGACAGGATAGCCGAGTTGTTAGGCTTCGATCACGGAACTGAAGCTCACCGTCGCGTGCCCGATAATTTTAGTGAACAAGCTTTCACTCTATGGCACGACTTAACCAACACCCGTGCATCAGCCTTCCAAAGCCTCAACGCTACGCACATTCACAACCCGGCAATCCGCTATTTCCACGTGTCATATGCAACACCATCTTCGCTCGAGAAAGCAACCATAAGCTCAACTCCAAGGAGCTTCTATTCTTACACTGCGCTCTTCCGATCAACGCTGCCCCTTTCATGCTTTATCATATCCAGGCCATTGTACACAGAGGCTCCACCCGTTCTACCCTCGCCATTCAGTTGGGGCTTGGTGACTTGGTCGTTAATCAGCCTCACCTAGCCGCAGAATTCCTCACCAAGAGTTATTGCAGGTCCGCTCACCTGATTGCGCAGCGAGAGGATGGCAGGTATAGCCCTGTTGTCCATGGCACCATTTTCCATCATATCATTCTGCCGTCCCGTGACCGCATCGATCCATCCAGCCGAGCCAATTGGCTCTTTGTTTTACCTGTTGCTGCCGATCACGTCCCTATTCATGATGATCAGGCAGACCCTCCAGCGGATGAGATGCAGGACGCTATGGATGCAGCTGAGCCTGTCCAGGATATACCAGAGACATGTCGCCCCCTGCTCCCGAAATCACACTTGAGGAAGTCCTCCGTGCGATTCATCAGCAGAACCAGATGAACGCCGCACTGGAGCGAAGGCAAAAGGAGCAGTATGATGCTTTACTCAGCACTATTGCAGCAAACCAGGAAGCTACTAATGAGAAGTTTGGAGAAATTTTCAGCGAGCTAGAAGCCCTCCGCATTAACATCACTGCTGCCTCCGGCACCGGTTCTGATCCTGAAGCGACTCCTTCCAGACGCCGCTCCCGCACCAGAAGCCGAGCCCGCGGTCCTCAGCAGCCATAGTTTTAGTTTGCTTATGTTTGTTTTTCGTTTTTGTTGTACTTTTACCGCATTTATATCACAACATTGAGGACAATGTCTGATATAGTGTGGGAGAGGTACCTTTCATTTCCGCATTTTCCCTTTTTCGCACTTTTCCATTTCGTTGTATTTTCAATTCCGTTGTATTTCTTTTCGCAAGTTAATGAAATGAGCAAATCTTTGTGCTATTTTCTTTAATTTTGAACTTTCCCCGATTATTTAGCTATATCAGAAAAAATCTTTAATTATTCGCATTACCCGACTTACCTACGGAATCGTAATTAGGAAGCCGAGAACGATTAAACAAGACCAATACAATCTTGACATCTTTGACTCCCTACTTAAGCAATTCCATCCCGATTACCATTACGAGTACACTTTTAGTTTCAGTTCAAAAGTAACCCCTAGTAGTTTATACTAGCAGTCAGCACCGTCTGAACACAAACCACGTGGGGAGCCGATGAATATAAGCGTTTGATGCCTAATCAATAATGATCCTTCATATCTCGATGCAAAATGAAAAGAAATTGCACCAAAGTACACGGTCGCATATAAGAAACGAGAAATATGAGAAGGAGTCCATTGCAAGTTGGTTCAGAGGTACTGGTTCTGAACTCGGTAGGGCGTGCTACGGCTCGATCCCCCACAACCTCCAAATCGGATAAAATATGTAGGGTCACCACACTCGTGTACCAGACCCGTGCTCAAAAAGGATCAAAGTCGCTAACCGGCTACTCCACTACGTGCGTGCTAAGGCAAAGGGCTTAATGTGATTGCGCTAGAATGAAACCGGGCGAAATAAGATCGAAAAACTCCAGGTGAAATCGTAATGTAATTGCCGATTGTTTCGTTTAACGGGAAGTCGACGACATAGCTTGTTGCTTGTGTCATTAGTGTATCGGTAGTGTTCTATCAAAGTACCGGATTATCCGACAAAACGATCCCTCGTACGGTTTGTTATGAGTATGCGTGAATAAAATCTTGTCCGCCGATTTTCAACCGACTATTTGCTTGAGGACAAGCAAAGGTTTAAGTTTGGGGAAGTTTGATAACGAGAAAACGCATCGATTATATTGCTAGGTTTCATTAACGTTTTATCGCATATTCACCGTTTTAACACTCGATTTCTCGAGTTTTTCTTACCATTTTGCAGGTACATCATTATATGGAGCTAAATCATGAATTAAGAGCAAAAGGAACAAAAGAAACCATAAAGAGATGAAGAAATGAAGAAGCCTGCAAAAGACTGCATAATTTGTTGCAGTCACGGCCGTCACAAAGGTGTCACGACCGTGACACCCAATTTGAGCCATCACGACCGTAAGAGAGTGGTCACGACCGTGACACTTAAAAACCACAAGTTACGAACGTGAAGACCTTGTCACGACCGTGACAAGGGTAAAATTTGGTTTTTGACTCAGACTACGTCAAGGCATTACGTGAAGACCATTTCTCCTATTCTGTTGCCACGTTCCTGCATTCCTTCCACAAATTCAGCAAGGTCCATGCAACAAAGGTCCAAAAATCCAGCCCATTAAGGATTCTATAAATAGTACAAGTTCTATGAACAATGGACACAGAGCATTTTTTATTCAATTTCCTGCGGAAGCTCTGCCGAACTGTATTACGAACCAGCCTTTCTATTCCTGCATTATTTTTAGTTTTCTGTTTCATTTTTTATTGTATCCAAACCCGCCATATAACAATTTCCAACATCAGAAAATTGTTATACATTTATTTGTTTCTAAACCTTCAGCATTACTTTATTTTCAATTTCCGCCAACTCCAAGCTTTCCGGTCTGTGGAAGAAGGAGTCTGCTCGAATATTTGTTAACCAGGTTTTTCATTATATTGCAATTTAATTTAATTATAATGTTTATTTATTTTTCCTCCATGAGTACGTTATTATTAAATTTTCTGTCTCTGTCTGGTTCAACATCGATGAGTAGCTAAACACCTTAGGGCGGTATGTAGTTATAACAAACTTAACCGGTAAAATATAACCATAGGCTAAAAATAATTAATCACTTAACATTCTGGCTGATACTTTTTAATTGAAATAGACCTTTTCGTTACGAGAGTAAGAAAAGAGTATTAGGTTAGGTCAAGACCACGAGAGTGTGAGATTTTAAGCAGATAGCTAAAGTTAGGCATTTAAATTAAACACAGCGAGAGCGCTTTAAGATAAATTAGAATTACTTAGTTTCCAAAAATTACCTTTAAACACTTATGGGCTAGCGAGAGCAGGCATAGGGCTTTAGGGATAAGATCTGATATAAGACGACAAGACCACGAGAGTGTGAGTTGAGGGTATTTAAACTGGTAATCTCTACCGAATAGATTAAGTGAACACCTTTATAAGCCTAGGTTAGATTGACCCACCTAAGTTAGTATAATTACATACCGACCGCCTTAGTATTACTTTATTAAAACTTAAATTTAATTCCGCCTTTAATAGTCTTAAAAATCAACAAAAAATCGTGACAACCATTCGCCTTAGCTAAACTAGAAGTTCATCTAGCACTAAGTAACCATGTAACCATAGAATCCCTGTGGATCGATAATCTTAAATATTACTTCGATAGGCTGTGCACTTGCAGTAAGATACCGCTAGACGCATAAGTAGACACGTCTTTAGCCCATCAAGTTTAAAGTCAAACTTACCTGAAGTGTGTTCTTAATAAGTTCGTACAGAATTTGACCAGATCCACCGGAGCTGAGATCAACAAATGATATCAGCACCATTTTTGCAATGCATTCTTCCCGCACAAGGCCTAAGCAAAATTATGTTATCAAAACATTTAGGTAGAAACGTAAAGTGGAAGAGAGCTCTACAAATATAACTAATTATTATCATTTGTGTATAAACAATATTTACCGGTTTTCCGAGCCGATATAACAGCATATCTGGCACCCTTCTCTTGTTGCCCAACAGGATTCATGTCTAGTAAATAACACTACAACATGAAAATCAAAATACAACTTTATGAATGCTCTACTAGAAATTTTCCAAAAACATCCTACCTACTAGGTTTAATCTAGGATGAAAGAAATGTCACCTATTTATGCACTGCCACATGACATAACTGACCTGCTTCTCTTCAAAATTGGGCCAAAAGTACTGATCTGGATACTTGGCAGCTGGAGTGGCTAACATCTGATGTGATAGGAACATCTCAGTAAAGTCAATCAGGCCAACCCAAAATTAAGATAACCATTGAGTCTGATGCTGAGATTGTGGTGACACTAAAAATAATCACCTTGGAAAAATCTATCAACTTCAGCCAAATATGGAAAACAAATGTTGCAAATACCAAAACAAAGGTTTGCAGGACCATAAGCATTGACTTTTAGTCCACAAGTTTTACCATATTTCATTGATTCATTCCACTCGACTTTTCTTCTTTCTATTCTGATTGAATTCATCCGAAGGCACTTCTTGAGTATGAAATCTCTTGGTAGAGCATTCATTTTCATCATCACTACAAGCAATGGCATTCAAATCTGGTAAAAAACGATATAGATTCTTAGTTGGTTTACCGTATACAAGATAAACTGCTATCTTCTTCACAATGAAACTGTTCTCAAAAACAAACACGACCTCCACTTTGTTACCGGGTTCTAAACTTGATACTACTCTCTGCCCCTCTTCATCTTCAATGGAGACTAGTGCCTCTCCCTTATAGAGCTGAATGGTGGCCTTTGTGTAATTGTTTACTAGCACATTTTTAAGGCCATATGTTATGTTATCTGGGGTGGAAGTATAGATAATACACATCATTGTCTTCAAGTTACACCCATCCACTTGAGGGACTTGAAAAGTTACTGACGAACCTTCAGAAGTAAAGGTTACGCAATCTAAATAACCTCCAATGGGGAAGAAACAAGCATCGCTCCCATTGACATCCATATTCTGTAAAATCAAACTCATATTCACGGATTGCTCAAATTTTCAAAAAAGAAATAAAAATAAAAAAGGGTTAACATAAAGAGTGTGTCAAACCTGTAAAATTTTCTCTTTCAAACAATTGGTGACTTGGCAATTCACTCCCATTTGAATGAAAATAGACTTCAACCAATGTTTTGATCCCGAAACGTGCACTTGACTACAACAATGAATTAATGTACGAGTAGTACTATTTGATACTTGTGATGTAGTTGCAGTTGATTCCAAATCCTTAGAAACTGTGGCATATAAAGCATCCAAAATTATTTTAGCATGTAAAGAAAGTTGATCTTCAGATTTACACTCCACCCAAAGACTTCTAAGATTTGGAAGGTACTTAGAAATTGATGATAGTTCCTGGGAACTACTATGTGGTTCTTCTAAAAGACCGAGAGGTGGTATGATAGTAGAAGTTTGAAATTGGGATGGGAGTTTATTTGTTGCTGACATCCAAGACCAAATTATAGATGGAAACACATCATGTGAAAATCCTTCATAGCTCCACAGAGAAATATATCCAATGCTTTTGGACCCTATCACTGAAAAGGGCACTCTGGATGAAGATTCCATTTGTTTCAAGTCTTCTTCCAACTTTTCAATCTTTAAACAACCCGAAAGAATGAGAGTTTTCAGAGATTTCAACTTATAGATGCTTCTTGGGAGGCTACATAAGCTAATACAGTCTTCTAAATTTATCAAAAGAATTTTATTGAGATGTCCAATGCTAGGAGAAATCTCAGACAACAATGGACAATCTTTGAGTACTATCTTTTCAAGATTAGGCATGTTTGAAAAGTCAGGGCTTTGTGTGAGATGGTGAGAATGACTAAGATTGAGAATTTTTAGCTTCTCCATCATCTGCAAGAACATAAATATTAATGAGGAACTTAGGAAAGAGACTTCAAAAAGCAAATGGAAAGAATTACAATATATCACAAATCATAAAAACGGAAAATAAAACATTTACATTAGTGCAAGGTAATTTCTTAAAAGTTCAATATCAATGGAAAAGCTTTAAAACAAGGCAAATTTCGGCATATAATGTTGCATAAATTATTAATCTGTGTCTAAGAGTTCTTCTGAGAGTTCATAAATTTTAAGTTTCTTTAATCAAATAGTATAAAAAGCAACCATTTTTGCCCCTTCTTTTTGATATATCAAATTTTTTGCACAACATTTAGGTAGTAAATTTTCAATTATATGTTTGACCTACAGTAGTTGTAGTAGCTTTCATGGTGTACACTAACTATATAGATAAAACCCATTTTACATGTAAACTTAATATCTAGGAAATTTAATTCTGAATTTTTTATTCATGCTTAACATAAAACTTCCTTACACTCCAATTATATATTGTTAAATGCTTAAAAAAGTTCCATATCACAACAAGGACTAAAAAATTAATTATTACTATGAAAGGCCGTGCTTTTTATCTTTAAATTTAAATCATAAATATTGATAATATAATAACTTAATCTAAAATAAAAAATAATACCAGAGTCTTATTCCATAGAAGTTCGACATTATTGTTCTCTAACTCAATAGAGACTAAATTTTCTGGATGGAAGTTTGTAGGTATGTCACTTAATCCATTCCATGACAGCCATCTCAGATCTCTTGAAACATATTCAAAATCTCCATCAAATTTTACTTCAGCAAGTTGAAGCAATTTGAGCCTTTTCATCTTCTGAAATGCTTTGGTGTTAAAACATTTTGCATTTGCACTAGGCAGCTTCAAAGCCAGTCCCATAACACATTTTTTCCCCTATCAAATATAATGGACCAAAAAGCCAAAACACACAAAAAAAAAACATTAAAGTAACAATGCAGGTACAAAATTTGCCCTGAAACCATTCATTTGTTACTGGCTAGAAGTAAGAAGCACAAAAAAATTCACAACCAATCTAATTTTCGATGATATCATGATAATCAACAAAATAAAGAGATGTACAATTATAAATGTTTCTTTTAACTTCTAGCTTTAGATGTTGCAAATTTATAATTAAAAAATAAATAAAAGAATAGTTTATTAAGTTCTTACGTTTTGTCTTGATAATATGTCTATCACATCCTCCTGAGACCACAACCTGCTACGTTTTTCAGGCTCCCTTGGTGATTCCTCACGAATGATTTCTCTTCCCATATCTCGCACCAAATCATGCATTCCAATCATGTTCTTATCATCAATAGTCACAAGGCTACGCTCAACAAGGATGCTTATTCCAACTTCTGCAGAACGTCCACAGTCATTTAATACAAGTATAACATCATTTTTGTCCATCCCAATAAAGAAACAAGCTATGTCAAGAAATATTTCTTTTTCATCATCATCATTTAAACCATCATAACTTATTCTTAACTTCTTATGCACTTGACTATTGGGAATTCTTTTGAGTTTCTCCAATACAAATTCCCACTCAGATTTCATCTTATTAAGCAAATTAGACCCAAGGACTTCGAGAGCTAGTGGCAATCCCCCAGAATACTCAACTACGTTTTTGGTAATGTTAACAAAATCTCTCGTAGGACACGCTTGCATGAATGCATTCCAACTAAAAAGTTCAATTGATTCACTTTCATTCATTATTGACATTTTGTATATATTGTGAACTCTCCCTTTAAGTAAATGCAGATTTCTCGATGTGATGATTATTATGCTCCCTGGACCAAACCATTCACGACTTCCACAGAAAGTATTTAGTTGCTCTATCGTACTCACATCGTCAAGTATAATAAGCACTTTTTTTTTACGGAGTTTAGATTGTAATGTGTTTATTCCAGAACCAATGTGTGGAATCTTGATTGTCATTTCTTTGAAGATATCAAATAGAAGTTGCTCTTGTAAACCCACAAGTCCCGCAATTTTCTCCCTACTTTCCCTAATATTCGCAATGAAGCTCCTACCTTCAAAATTGCGGCCAATTTTATTGTAAATGGCTTTTGCAACGGTTGTTTTACCAATTCCCCCCATGCCCCACATCCCTAGAAATCGAACATCTTTTGATTGAATGGGTTGAAGAAGTCGAATGACATCTTGCACTCGAGATTCAACTCCCACAGGATTATGGGCAATAAACAAATCTGTCTTGTTGAGCAAATGTGAAACTTTGTCAACAATTCTTTTGATATCCTCACTTTCATTCCTGCACAAATAGAACGTATAGATATGTATACACAAATACATGGAGATATATATCAAAAGTAGAGGGGAAGTTTGAGAAAGAAAATTATACCTGTAGTTTAGTATTACAAACCCTGCAATGCTAGCTGCCTCGCGAAGCGCATTTCTCCAACTTATCACCAACTTCAATGCCTGATTAATTTCTACCTCTTCTGTAATTTTGTACAAAAGACGTTGAAAAGCTACTTCAAATCCACCCCTCTGATTACGCACTTCAGAGGGATCTAAATGGTAGAACACGGGCACAACCACCTGCCCTATAGTTCTACGACACTCCATTATCTTTACCAACTCATCTAGACACCATCGCGAATCAGGATAATTTATTGAGAAAACAATTATAGAAATCTGAGACTGCTAAGATAAAGATGCTGAAATGTAATCTCCTCTTTGAAGGTCATTGTCGTCCATAAAAACGTTAATTCCAGCATTCTGAAGAGCTGTATAGAGATGTGAAGTGAAAGAAGCGCGGGTATCTTCTCCTCTGAAACTTAAGAACACGTCATGGATCCATACTCGTTCAGGTTTCCGTTCCAGTTCCGGTTCCGGTTCCGATACATTAACTATTTCTAAAATATAGCGAGAAAGAGAATCAATAAATGTACTACTTCAAACTGAATTCATGAAATGCGGAATTAAAGAAAATTAAATTAACTATCGTTCACCTGCATATATAGGCAATTCATCTTGTTCCATAGTTGGCAACCCCGACTTTGATGAGGATGAGGAAGGCTTTTCATTCTCCATTTTATTGGGACGGATAATGGCGGAACACAAAAGACGAGGGCGAAACTTTGTATAAACGGGTTTAAAACCCAAAGTGGCGATCAATTTCTGAAAAAAAAATTATAGGAGGGAAAGAATAAGCAATTGTGTGAACTTAAAGTCGTCACGGTTACAGTCTTGGGTCAACATGGCAACATGAATCTTAATTGCCAAAACATGAGATATGCCAAAAGGCAGATGTGGTAGTCGGAGGAATGGAGGTGGAAACAAGTTAGATATGAGGAAATTTTTAATAAATAAAAGATTGGGGAAAAAACGTTTTCGAGGCAAGTGGAAAGAGAATATAATGCATTAATGAGATAAATGTTAAAAGGGTCGTGCTAATGACCGCTCTCTTTAAAAATATCTTTTATAAAAATTAATTATTTCAATTTTTAATTCATTTACCATTTTATAAAGTACTTGTTAGTATTTTCAATTAATATTTTAAAAATCGAATCAATTATCGAACTAGTGAAAATATTGAATTTATTGATTTATTGGTCGAATCATTTTATCATTGGTCAAATCATATGACTAAATCGAATAAAATTAAAAAATTTGATGGAATAAATTTGTCACTATAACAAAATTATATAGGTATTAAGCCGGTCAAACCGGACGATTTGAGGTCAAAAAAAAATCACTAACATCTAAAAATTTAAAAATATCATAATTTTTCAAGTTCATAATTTAAATTTAAATTTGAATCGGTTATATTTTTGAGTCAAGTAATTGCTTTAAAATTTTAATCAAAGTATTTATCTTATAAATTTATGTTTGTTGTCTATCAAACATGCATATCATTTACTTTATGCAACACCTCAGTCAACTAATAGAAACAAATGATATTAATCACATAGGAAAAAACAGAGTATGTTCAAATTCTGCGACATATCAATGTTATAATACTCCAATAGTCTCTATTTACTATATTTAACATTACTGTCACCAATTTTTAAAGAAAAGAATATCAACATTCTCTTAAATTTTAATTTTTAATTTTTTTTAAATAATGAAAAACAGCATCGTTTAATTTTTTTATTTTAAAAAGCATTTAAACCAGCGGCTTTCCAAAATCGTCGATTTTTCGATTTTTTTCTTCGATTTACATCGGCTTTTACCGGTTCTCATTGATTCAATTACATACATGGTCCAACAATTGAACCAGACTGATTACCACTCCGTTTCTTGATATTATGCTTCATGAATAATTGCATGATCAAACATATGAAACAACAGAAAGCAGTGTGAAAATTATGAGAGTGAAGCAGGACGATTCTCATGTTATTGGTAGTTAGTTGATGGAGTATATATACATGTGAAGATACAAGCTAGTTGTTTAAGGTCCAAGTAAACAAACTAACCTAACTAACTTGCTCTAAGTGTAACAAACTAAAAACTAACTATCCAACTAACATTTCAGTTTTATCATCTATTAACCCCCCCCCCCCTTCTCACAAGTTAAACTTTAGTAAATATTTATCAAATTTAACTTGGTCTTGAGAGAGTGAAATGACTCAGGAAGTAATGGCTTGGTAAAAAAATTAGCAAGTTGGTTGTTGGACAACACAGGGAGAAGTTTCATCACACCGGCCAAGAACTTTTTTCGAACAATGTGGTAATCTATGTCAAGATGTTTGACATGTTCATGAAATACGGGATTGGCAGCAATATGGAGAGCACTTTGGCTATCACAAAATAGGGTTGAAACTTTAGAACATTCAATGTGCATGTCTCTGAGCAAGTAGAGAATCCACCGAAGCTCGCATGTTACTGCAGCTAAGGCATGATATTTAACTACAGATGAGGAACGAGAAACAATATTTTGCTTCTTGGTTCACCACGAGATAAGAGAATTTCCTAAGAAGAAGCAAGTGCCTGACACAAATAGTCGAGTATCCACACAACCAGCCAAATCTGCACCAGAGAAACCAGTGATGTGAAGAGATGAGTTTCGAGGGAAAAATAAGCTTTGGCCTGGACATTGTTTCAAATATCTCAACACCCTACAAGCAGCATTATAATGCGTGGTGGAGGATTTTGAAAAAAAAATTGATTGAGTTGTTGAGTTATGAATTTAATATCGGGTCTAGTGGTGTTGAGATCTGCCAATGAGTCTTGGATAGGATGGAATATATTCAAAATCAAGGTTGTTGTCATGACATATGTAACACCCCAAATTTTAATTAGAATATTAATTTAATTGATTTAAATAAGAATATTCGTATTTTGGTGATTTTCGGTGGTTTTGTGGAATATTGGGAATTAATGCATTTTGGGTTATTTATGGATATATTAATATTATTATTAATTAAAATAAATATAAGTTGAATAAGGGCAATTTGGACAATTAAGAGGAGTTAGTGAGTGTATTATGGAAAAAACCCAATTGTGAGGCTCAAGGCTAGGTTTAACAAAAAGGAAATTGTGAAGGGATTAGGATTTATTTTGTTAGAACGTGAAGAGAATTGAGGCCAGAGCTCTGAGGAGGGAGAATTGGAGGAAAAAGCTTTGGAAGGTTCCCTGAAATATTTGTGAAGGCTTTGATCGACAGTTAAGGTATGAGGAGTATTACCTTCATGATTTTCCATGTGTAAATTCAATGTATTTAAGATTGATTTATGGGTTTAAGAATTTTCAGGGTGGATATGAGAAAAAGGGATTTTTGGCCTTCGTGGCCTAAATATATTATTGTGAATCTAACCGTGGAATTCATTGGGGGAAAAGGAAAGTTAGGCCTTTATGGCCAAAACTTTGATTTGTTATGTGTCTAACCCTGAATGGATGAGAATATTAGATAATGAGTAATTATAATGAGTAGGGTGTAATTGAAAGGAAAAATGTGATTTAGGGCGTGAATATGATACAAGATTGGCCTAATAAACCGTAGGTTTTGTACCTTTATCGCCGTAAGACCTTAGGGATGATTTATGGGATATTTTGGGGGCATTGGGGAAGTGAATCGTGTGGACTTTTGGGTGGATTTAGGTTCTGGTGCATAACTGAATTTGTTGTCATCGCGTTGTTCTCCTAGCGAAAGATTTAGTTCCCAGACTCGCCTAGCGAAGAATCCTTTGCACAACGAAGAAACTCTCCCCAGACTCGCCTAGCAAACTTGCCAGCAAACGTAGCAGAGTTTCGCGAATGCTGATTTTGTGCAGCGATGCCTTGATGTTTTGATGTTGTGATTTCTATGATGAATTAATATGAGTATGACTGTGAATTTCATGTGATTAATATGTGTCGCTTGCGCGAAAATAAGGTGCCGGCATGACAGAAGAGTCGCCACCTTTCGTTATTTATCCCTCAGAGCGGGAAAGGAAACGATCGGAAAAAACCTGACGAAAAAGGGTAAGACAAGGTCGTCGCAACCATTGTCTGGGTTCGGGAGTCGGTTACGCAAGGGGAAGGTATTAGCGCCCCTCACGTCCGTCGTACTCGACGGAATCCTCGCTTGTTTGTTTACTTGGACGGGTTGGTTACAATCTATCTACCTATCAAGGCTGGCTGAAAAAGAAAAGAAAAATGACTCGGCAAAGCGTTGCACTTTATGCCTACGTATTCTCATCAGAGAATGAGAAATCAGAGTCAACGTAGTTCGGCCTACGAAGGATTATGGGGGAAAGGTTGCTCGCTAGGACGTCGCATCCTATGCCTACGTACTTCCACACTGTATGGAAGATCAGAGCAAACGTAGTTCGGGAAACTACGGGTTATCTCCTAAAAGAAGTGTTTTTTATTATGTTTGCGATCTCAACCGCACTAGAGACTATGACCTGAGAGGGAATGCGTCCTTTCTCAGATAGCTTAAGGCTCGTAACGTACGGAAGAAATCATTCATGATTACTGTATTTTAAACTGCTTCGAGATGAGAAGAGAACAGGCCCAACTAGGAGGGAGACTATCAAGTCCTACTATTATCATACCATGGATTCATCCTATGGTTGAGGTTTGAATAGGGAACTCCTAGATGTTGTCATGCATAGGTTTCAACCTAAAAGTCTATCATCAAATCCTCATCAGAAGAAATGAGAGTCCTAAGGGATCATGTCAATGATACACCAAAACAGACAAAAGCACCAGCTTTAACAGTAAAATGCATGCAATGCAAGTGAGGGAGGAAATGTGTGTGGGGCTTCAGCCTCCACAAGCTCATCTCAACCTCAAGCCAGTCATGAAATAACAGTAATCATACTGAAGGGTAAACAACATGCTATCAAGCAATGAACAGATAAAAGAAATGAAGTGCCATCAGGCAAACAAAACATGCTTGAGAAAGAATCATCTATTCTCTAATCCTAACCCTAACACAGAATCCTGATCAAATCTAAGCAAAGCCCTAAAGCAAAACCTAACCAAAAGAAATCAATCCCAGTCTTCAAGCTTCAGAACAAGCTTACCAAAGAAAGGGAGCTAAGTAAGCAGACTCATAGTGTCTTCCTCAGGAAAGCACTAGGAGGTGTATACTCAGGAGTCATATCCTATGTGGCTCAACCACTGTGATCAGTTTACATTCCTCCTCAGGAGAAATTAAACTCACAAGCAGGCTCCAACATCACTGGATACTTAGGAAATCCTATCTGAACTAGTGGAACTAAATGAACAGACTCATAGGACTTTCCTCAGGAAAGTACTAGGAGGCTTCCACTTAGGAGTTGTATCCCATGTGGCTCAACAACATGTGATCAGTTTACATTCCTCCTCAGGAGAAATTAAACTCACAAGTTGGCTCCAACATCATTGGATACTTAAGAAATCCTAGATAAACTAAGGGAACTAAGTGAATAGACCCATAAGACCTTCCTCAGGAAAGTACTAGGAGGCTTCCACTTAGGAATTGTATCCCATGTGGCTCAACAACATGTGATCAGTTTACATTCCTCCTCAGGAGAAATTAAACTCACAAGTTGGCTCCAACATCATTGGATACTTAAGAAAGAGGTGAGAAGAAAGAATGAAAGTCATTCATAGTGCCTTCC